CCCCCCCCCCCCCCCCCCCCGAGAGAGAGGGAGGTACGGAGGGAGAGAGGGAGAGTGTGTGTGTGTGTTTGTGGTTATGAGAAATGGGGGGATTTCAAATGGTGGGTACAGGATCAAATTTAACGTCAAAAGAATGCACTACCTTTGCCGGAGATCGAGGGAGGGGGAGAGTTTGCTTAAACAAATTCATTGTAGTCATTCCACTCATTTGTCTTTACTCAGAATATTTAAAGAAACTGTTCTGATTTTGTAGCTGTAGCCTTTTTATGTCTTATTAGTTTTCTTCACTAGTTTCACAATTTAGTATCCATGGCCTCATAAGGAATTCCTTTTGCAGCTTGGGTCTGCAGAACTTTTCATGCAAGAATCAAAGTTTCTGATCCATGGCAATGGTAAAGAGAAGCCGGCTACTGGCTTCATGTTTGAAAAGGAGCAGATGCATGGGTTATATTTCAATCAATCTCCGGCAAAGGTACTGCATTCTTTTGACGTTAAATTTGATCTTGAACCCACCATTTGAAATCCCACACAGATTTGTTATATTTCATTCCAAACTTGTTTAATACGGACGGCCAGTCAGTCACTAGTGTATGTGTGTGTCTAGGGTGCAGTTCCAACAAAAAAAACATGTGTTTTTTGTAAAAATAGAAACTAAAACCCATTTTTCTAATGAACCTCGTGTCCATTATGATATCCATTTGCTACAATTGATTTTTGACAAGAGCTGAAATGTTCCATTTATTTTGTGGTTTTAGGATATTGCTTTGGCAAGGGTTTCAATGAGACCAATCCCTCTTGGTCCAATGATGGAGAAGTTGTCGTTGACTCCCCAAAACTACGGAAGTGGCCGGAGATTCTATGTCCAAACATTGGACGATCACGCTCTTTCACCGGATGTCCAAGAAAAGCTGGTGAGGGAAAATCCTCCTGAAGGAGTGTTCAAGATCAAAGGAAGTGACCACTGCCCTTTCTTCTCAAAGCCGCAATCGCTGCATAAAATTTTACTTGAAATTGCTCAGATTCAGTAAAATATCAGATATATCCTCAGCAAAATGCATTCTTGAAATTGTTTAGCTCAGCATGATTTGTTATCTTCAAAGAACAAACAAAATTCTTTTGCTCATAGTAAAAATAGCGTTATGTACGTGAATACTTTTTTTTTCTTCTTCTCAATGTGCCATAAAGAAAAAAACAAATGAGCATGTTCTTGTGAGTTGTGATCTTGTACAATTACACAAATTACCGTATATTTAAAAAAATGTGAAAAAGTAAACTGTTTCATGTCATGCTTCTTTAATTGTTCTGTCTTGGTTGAGCCTCTAACCTTTTGAGATCAATGTTTTGAAAACCAGACCGGCCGTCGACTCGGACGAGGGTGTGGGTCAAGGGCTAACCGGTCGAATCGGTCAACCCGGAGTCAACGAACCGGTCAAATATAATTAATATATTTATTTATATATGTATATTATTAGATATTTTCAATTAATGTCATTGTGAATATAAAATTTAATACTTTAATTTCTATTTTTATTAAAATTTCAGATTGAATGTTTAATAAATACATAAATAGTAAAAAATAATACTCATATTTTCAAAAATAAATAGACTAGATAATGTGTTTTTCTGTATTATTGACATTATAAAGTTTATATTTCATTGATTAAAAATGAAATGTAGCATATTAAAGTTTAAAAGTTGATAAAACAAATATATTATATCAACATAGTTCTTTTTTAATCATTTGAAGTCTTTTAAATGATACATAAAATTGATTATGTAGTTCTTTCTCTACATAATCTTCGGTAATATATAAAATAGTGCGTTATTGTGTAACAGCAAGAAAACCTTGCTATTTGAGAAGAAGAAGACGAACCAGAGAAGGGGGAGGGAAACGGAATAGAAAGAGAGAAAGAAGAAATGATTTGTAAACTTCCAATCAATCCACCAAACTGTACATCAGGGCTTATTTATACATCCAGTGTTAACACTAACAACTCCCTTATTAATAGCTAACTAACTAACCACCCTAACCACTCTTAGTCATCACGTTGACCAAGACCTCCACGTCAGCTAGCTATAACAATGCCTCCTCCTTCAAAAAGACTTGTCCTCAAGTCTGTGCTGAAGCTGCAAATGTTGGATATCTAGCTTGGAACTCTGCAGCTGGCTCCCAAGTAGCTTCCAGATCACTATATCCTTCCCACTGGACCAAGTACTACACCTGAGCCGTATTCTGCACCTTCTGGATCCTTCTGTCTAAAATTGCTGCTGGAGTAGGGTGTTTACTAGCATGTTGCCCCTGGAACCATGCTGGGATGTGGACCGCAGTAGGTAATGTGTCTTGAAACAATTTCAACTGAGACACATGGAAGACATCATGTATATTAGAATGGCTAGGCAACTTCAGCTTGTAGGCAACCTTGCCAATGGTGCTAGCAACCTGGAATGGGCCAAAGTACTTGGGAGATAGTTTGTTATTGCTTCTGTGTTGGAGGGATTGTTGCCTGTAAGGTTGTAACTTCAGCCAAACCCAATCTCCCACATTAAAACTTCTCTCAGATCTGTGCCTATCAGCTTGGACTTTCATCCTGTTTTGAGCTTTCAGCAGATGGGACTTTAGTTGATCAACAATGTGCTGTCTTCTTTGCATGCTTCTATCTACTGCTTCCACCTTGGATTCTCCTGGTAAATACGGCAAATAGAGTGGTGGAGGTTGACCATAAACAGCCTCATAAAGAGTGATCTTAGTGGCAGTGTGGTAGTGAGTGTTGTACCACCATTCGGCTAGAGGGAGCCACATGCACCAGTCACTTGGCTGATTTCCACACATGCACCGTAAGTACATTTCTAGGCATTTATTCACTACCTCTGTTTGACCATCTGTTTGAGGATGGTATGCTGATGAAAGAAGCAGTTCAGTGCCCTGTAGGGAGAAAAGGCCTTGCCAGAACTGACTTATGAATATAGCATCTCTATCACTCACTATACTCCTCGGCCACCCATGTAATTTGAATACTTGATCCAAGTAGGCTTGAGCCACTTCTAAGGCTGTAAAAGGGTGTTTGAGAGCAATAAAGTGGCCATACTTGCTCAACCTATCAACTATCACAAAGATTACCTCCTTTCCCATTGACTTAGGCAGTCCAGTTATAAAATCCATGGATATATCTAACCAAATTCCTTCTGGGACAGGAAGGGGCTGTAACAGACCTGGAGAAGCAACATTTTCATGCTTGGAGGCCTGACAGGTTAAACAGTTTCTTACAAAGTGACTTACTGTTTTGGACATCCCCTTCCAATAGAACAAAGTTTTCAGTTTCTTCAATGTGCCATCCCTGCCAGAATGTCCCCCATCAGGGCTGTCATGATGCCATTTGAGGAGTTTGGACTTTAACTGATCACCAGGCCCTATTAAAAGTTTCCCTTTTCTCCTTAAGTATCCATCTTGGAAGGAAAAATGTTTCACCAGTTGAGATTGTGTAAGGGCCTGTATCATATTCACCAGATTTTGATCTAGTTGATAACTGTCTTGAATAAGCTTTCCTAGATCTGAGGAAACCACTGAAATTGTCATCATTAAGATTTCAGATCCTTGTACTCTGGATAAAGCATCAGCAGCCATATTTTCCTTTCCACTTCTGTAAACAATTTCATAATCAAAGCCCAACAATTTAGATAGCCAAAATTGTTGGAATGGAGTGGAAATCTTCTGTTGGAGTAACCATTTAAGGCTTTTTTGATCAGTTTTGATAATGAAATGGCTGCCTATCAAGTACTGCTCCCACTTTTGAACTGCAAAGACAATAGCTAATAATTCCTTTTCATAGACTGAAAGTTTCTGCCATTTAGGGCCCAAGGACTTGCTAATAAAAGCTAATGGATGCTGATTTTGGATGAGGACTGCTCCAATCCCTTCTCTCGAAGCATCTGTTTCTACTTCAAAGGGTACATTGAAGTCTGGTACTGCTAAGACAGGGGCAGTAGTTAGAGCTGTCTTTAATGATATGAAAGCATCATGAGCCTCTTTTGTCCAAGCAAAAGCCCCCTTTTTAAGAAGATCAGTCAAAGGCTTACTAATCATGGCATACCTCCTTATAAACTTCCTGTAGTATCCTGTTAGGCCCAGGAAACTCCTAAGCTCCTTAGGTGATGTAGGCTCTGGCCAATCTGCCACTGCACTAACCTTTCTAGGGTCAGTTTCAACTCCTTTGGCAGAAATGAAATGACCCAGGTATTCCACCTTAGGGCTCACAAATATGCATTTGCTAAGCTTTGCATATAACATGTGCTTCTTCATTAATTCAAACACCTGCCTCAAGTGAATCCAATGATCCTCTTTGGTCCTACTGTATACCAAGATATCATCAAAGAAGACTAGGACTGATTTCCTCAATAGGGGTTTAAAAACCTCATTCATCCAGCTCTGGAAAGAAGCAGGTGCATTAGTGAGGCCAAAGGGCATCACTAAGATATCAAAATGTCCCGTGTGAGTTTTGAAAGCAGTCTTGTACACATCATGAGGGTGAATTCTCAACTGGTGATAGCCAGACCTTAAGTCCAGTTTAGTAAACACTTCAGCTCCAGCAAGTTCATCTATCAATTCATCCACCACAGGAATTGGAAATTTATCCTTTATGGTTTTACTATTCAACTCCCTGTAATCTATACATAGTCTCCAAGTTCCATCTTTCTTTCCCACTAGCACTACTGGGGATGCAAAAGGGCTGGAACTGTGTTGTATTATTCCCCTATCTAGCATTTCTTGCACTAGTTGTTCAATAGTGTCCTTTTGCTTCAGAGGATACCTGTAAGGCCTGATATTAACCGGTCTGGATCCTGGTTCCAAGGGTATTTTATGATCAAATACCCCTCTGAGGGGATGCAATCCTGTGGGCTCCTCAAAGACCATGTTGAATTCCCTCTTAAGCTCTTCCAGTTCTTTCTTTTCAGTGTTAGTTGCCTCTTCACTTTCCAAGCATTGTATCACCATAGTGGGTTGTTCTACTTCTTCCTTCGTTAGTTGCAACAAACAAAACTGTATTGAATTATGAAATAGCTTTGATGTTGGAGCTCCTTTTACAATCTTCATTTTCTTATTCACCAAGCCCCTGAGTACAAAGGACTGTCCACCCACATCAAACTTCATGGTCATTTCCTTGAAATCCCAAGATACAGGACCTAGCGTTTCCAGCCACTGAATCCCTAAGACCATATCACAGCTGCCCAAGGGAATTAGCAAAACATCTGTAACAAACTCCTTATCTTGCATCTTCCATATGAATTGGTTAGAGGCATGCTGACAGGTTATCTTATTGCCATCTGCAACAGTCACTGCTTGTGTAGGTACTTCTTCAATGCTACACCCCAAGTTTTTAGCGGTGTCAAGGTTCAAAAAATTATGAGTGCTACCTGAATCAATCAATATATGAATGGCCTTTTTGTTTACCATGCCTACTACTCTCATGGTTTGGTAACTCTGGCCCCCCGTTAAAGCTTGTACAGAGATGCAAGCTTCTGAGCCTTCACCCTTCTCACTCAATTCATATTGGCTTTCTGGACTTTCTACCAGTTCTTCCTCCACCTCAGTCTGATTGGGCAACTCAGCAGGTACCTCAACAGTGAATAATTGGTGTTCCTTGAAACTGCACTTATGCCCCCTCTCATAGGGCTTATCACAATAATAGCATAGTCCTTTAGCTATTTTCTCCGCCCTCACGTCAGCAGGTATGTACTTAAAGTTTTTATTAGGTGCAGTCTGATTTGTAAGATTAAACTTCTGTTGAGTATATGGTTTAATCTGAGGAGTAGGCAGAATAGGAGGTTTTGCTGAATTGGTATAATGGCTAAATTTAGAGATTTTCGTCCCTTCCACTTCCAGTGACTCCTCTTTAAGCCTAGCAAAGGTAATAGCTTCAGCTATACTCGTAGGCTTAAAAGCTCTAACAAACAATTTAACAGCAGGCTTCAAACCTCCAACAAATGAATCCAAGATAAATGAATCAGGAAGGTAGTGGCTATGCTGGACCAAAATGGATCTTAAATCTTCAAACTCATCAACATATGACTCAAGAGATCCTTTTTGTTCCAACTTTTTAAACTGTTCCACAACGTTTTCCCCCTTATCATCCCTGAACCTTGCATTTACATCCATGATAAACTCATGCCAAGCAACAAACTTTCTAAAAGACAAGTAGCTAGTGACCCAGTTTTCAGCCTTATCCACCATATGTAAACTAGCAATGTCAACCCACTGGTCTTCCGGAATCTTACAGAGAGAAAAGTTCTTACAGGCCTTCTTAATCCAAGTTCTTGTGTTGCTTCCATCGAATTTGGGAAACTCCAGTTTTGGATTGAAATTGAGTGTCCTTGCGTGTGAATAGCCTCCATCTCCTCCGTGCGCAGGACTTCCCTCTTTCTCCTTACCTGCTCTATTCTCCAAATTCTTCAAGATTGCCATTATCTGATCCATTTTTCTTTCTTGCACGTTAATCCTCTCGTCCATGCCTGTGAACCTCCCTTCCAGAGCTTTCAATTGAGCTTCCATAGTTGATTGTCGTTGAATTGATCTAGATACAGAAGAATCAATGATCTTCACTGTATCGCTGGGCTCTGATACCAATGTAACATCAAGAAAACCTTGCTATTTGAGAAGAAGAAGACGAACCAGAGAAGGGGGAGGGAAACGGAATAGAAAGAGAGAAAGAAGAAATGATTTGTAAATTTCCAATCAATCCACCAAACTGTACATCAGGGCTTATTTATACATCCAGTGTTAACACTAACAACTCCCTTATTAATAGCTAACTAACTAACCACCCTAACCACTCTTAGTCATCACGTTGACCAAGACCTCCATGTCAGCTAGCTATAACATATTGTAAACAAAAGTACCGGCTGCACAAGTGGATTCCCTCTCTTCCTGCCAACATATTGTAAACAAAAGTACCGGCTGCACAAGTGGATTCCCTCTCTTCCTGCCAACCTTGGCCATCCGGGTTCGAAACCCACCTTCGCCTCTATTTGTTTTTTCCAGGTCGGCCGGTTTCCAGCGGGTCAAAAGGAAACTGGGTTTTGATATTGGACCGAACCGGGAAGTTCACCGGTTCACGGTCTGACCGGTCAGACCGGCCGGTCCGGTCCGGTTTTAAAATCATTGTTTGAGATAAGATGTTATTTTGAAGTTTCTGGATGAACTATACAACCCCTTTCATTATGAGAATGTTATTGAGCTAATAAATTATTTCAAAGTTTTAATATAGAAATCATCTTAAATAGGACTAAAACATAGAGAAAAATACCAAAATAAGACTTTCATGTTTTTTTCCCGGAATAGGACTTTGCTTTGTAGTAATGTGGCAGTGTACATGTGCAAATTACTATACTTTTTTGGTAATGGGTCTGTTTGGGAAAAGAGTTAGAGTTTAGCGTTAGAGTTTAGTGTTAGCGTTTAGCTGTTTACATCAGAGTTAATGATTAGCATTTTCATCTTTTACCGTTTGGTAATTGAAGATTATAAAAGGCTAATGAACTACAAATTACTAAAATATCCATTAAGCTTCTATACCTAAGTGCAGATCTCAAATACGGAGTATTAAAAATTAAAAAGTCCAAATGTCCCCCATTCCATTAATTCAATGAATGGATTAATAGATCAGAGACTTTTGAAGCTTTAATTTGTAGGGGGTGGGGGACTGCCAACGTGAGAAAGAAATTCAAATGAATGGACAAATCATATCAAGAAAATTAATGGAAATACTTGCAGCAAATCAAACCCTTTAACGGATCGCACACAAAAAGAAAAAGCCCTATTTCTTCACCACCCCAAATCGTAACTTGTATGATTTTATGGGCAGAAGTGGAAATTTTGCCTCAAACGCTAAACTTGGTGCTGGAACGCTGGAGAGGAGGAGCCTTTGCAATTAGCAGTACGAGAAATTCGGACAACTAAAAAGAGTCCCCATTTTAACGGAAAACAAACACTAATAATCTAGGTTTAAGCGTTATAGTGTCAAAATGTATATGACCATGTTTGGTAATGTAAGTCATATTTTGAGAATAAAAACATGGAAGTCCTATCTTGGTATATCTTTAATGTTTTAGTCCTACTTTGGTCCTACTTTGATAGCCATTGTAAAATATAAAGCTATTGGGAATCGTCGTCTCTGAAAATTCAGGAGTAGTCGTGGATCATATGATACCGAATTCATTCGGGGTAGGTAAACTTTTTCTCAACATGATTTCTCGAAACCACAATAGCATCGATAATGTTCTTTTACAACTCTTCAACAATTAGTCTTGTACTATTATACAATCTATATGTTTGGTCAATGTTTCTCAGTAACATAATTGGTACCTCCTTTTGTAAAACTACTTTGTAATTTGGGATCCCCGAATATTTGATTTCATTCAAAAACTTAATTATTATCCAATCATTATCAACACCTACATCTGAATCTACCTTACATGAATAACCACAAGTCATGGACAATATTTCATCTTCAGGAATGAGAGATAAGACAAATTCATTTACCATTTCTACAACTTAAAGTGTGGGTGCCAATAATGCCTTATCCTCAAAAAAAGAATAACTTTTCATAGTCTCCAAAAGGTTTGAATAACTAAAGTCTATAATACTCTTGTGTCAATGATTTGTATCTAAAAGCGAGAATTTGGACGGAATTTAAATTTTAATTTTTTTATCAATCACTTGTCTAAGCTTTCCATCTCTGACTTTGAATATTCAATCATAAAAACTTTGTGTGCCCTTATCTGAGCAAGAGAACTTAGTTAAATGCAATCTCATGAACTTTGTCAACGTATAAACTTTACAATACAACTATAGTTTTGAAGAATTGATGGTAGCACTTACATTTTCCTCTTTCGAAGCTCTGGGTAAAATAGGAATAATTTCTCGAAAATTACATCCGAGTACAACTATTTTCCCTCTAAATGGTTCTTTTCTAGAGTTTTTTATTAGCGAATCTCATATCTCTCATTGTGCAATCTAATGCCTCAAAAGCAGATCAGTTCAGCACACACTTCATTCCATATGATTAAACTTTCTTGTTTTATTAGTTTACCTTTCGGGCCCCTTGATTGATGGCATACATTGAGCACTCTGTGAGCGCTAGAGCGTATGAGAATCTTGAGTGTGACTTCCTTCCTCCAGGCAAAGCAATGCTACAATGTCACTAGATTTGAAACTCAAGATAACCTTATCATTTAACCTCAAAGAAACAGAAAGTGGTTTCCGTAGAAAAGTTTTTCTAGTTCCACTATAACCATACATAAAAAATATCCTCTTTCGAATGTCACAACTTCCATTATTTTGTTGTATATCTTATACTGATCTTCATTCATCATACATCAGTATCCCATAAGATCAGATGATAATTTTTCTTTATCTGAGTTTAACTCTTATATCAAAAATTATTTTGTAACATAGTAAGTGGACTGCCATCTAGAAGTGACATCCCATTGAAATCCCTTAAAACCCATATATTTGAATTATGCAACTTTTAATCTTTATTAGACACAACTTTTTAGGTCTTCTCGATAAGTTGTAAGCTTTGAAAAAAATTAGAAAAAATGTGACTTTATCAGGACTACATAATACTTAAATATAGAGTTTGGTTTCAACATAATGCAATACATATGAATTAGTATGTGAAAATACCATTTTTCTATTGAAATACCTTGATTATGTAATATTCTCCTTCATCAAATAAAATTTCATCCACCAGAAGTTCTCATGATCTTTCCCAAACAATCTGGGGGCAACTATTGGTATTTGTCATTAATAATGTGACGAACAACTTTTTTAGATGATTCCTAGATCCTAACTTAACAGCCTCTTTTTATCATCGGCTAATAACCTCAATGCATCGCATGCTTCCTCGAATGACTTATGTAAAACCCCGTTAACTATCTTCAAGCTCTCATAACTTGTACATCCTCGCTGCACAATTAATAGAATTCTCAAGTAGTACAATTCTTCGGTTTCTTTAGGCACATATTGTAGTCGACCTATTGATAGTCTTTGTTGCATTGGGAACAAATTCTACTCCTTTTTATTATACATAAAATATCCTAGAAATTCTGTATACCTTAATTTTGTCTCTCATTGCACTCGTATTGACAATCATCCAAGCTTTAAAAATCAAAGTTTTGTATATATTTCGTTCAGCAACATCTTTAATTATTTGTTGGTCTTTAAAAGTGACAAATTCTGGCCTTGGGAGATGGAAATTTAACCACAATGTTGTCGACCACCTACGATGTATTACTCCGTCCCGGAGTATTTGTCCAGTTTTGACTTTTGGAACTGTTCATCTAAGCACTTTGACTCATCAAATTCTCTCAATGTGTAAGCGTAAATATAGTCATGTGTGATCTTGTTTGATTTTTCTTAACATATAGATTATTAATATATAATTTCTATAATTTTTTAATATATATACAAATTACAAGATAAAATGGATTAAAGAAGTGTATTGATGGTGTGTAAAAATGAAAGTGGACAAATATAGTGGGACGGAGGGAGTACATCAAAAGAGATGATTTTCCAAGACACTTCTCACGCGGATACGTAACACAATCATAGTAATTCTCTATTTCATCATACACCTCATTATGAATAGTGTGAGAGCTAGATTGGGTAACTACAATAGTTATTCAATCTTGACCTTTATTGACATACTTAAAGAGATATTTGATTGAATTAGATTTGTTGTAATATTCAATCTCAATGTGAGTTTGATACCTCATCAAGAGTTGTGTATTGTATGGCACAACAAATCAAGAAATTTTTTCTCATCATGGTGATCCCCATGTTTTTTCTTTTATATATCAAGTAGTCATTTTCATCAAATGATGTCTTGTAAACAATTTTTTTCGAGAAATATTAGGCAACTACGCACATATTACACGATCAATTGACTCGTGTAGCCATATTAAGATATGTGCATGAAACAATTCTTGCTTTTGAAATTCAACAATGTACAAACCTGCACACAATTAGTACATTCAGATGACGATACTTTAAATATGAATGTCTACATTTCCTTAATGAGTTAGTGTCATATATTTTGCAAATTTTGGCCATTGGAGATTGCATGTCATAGTAATGAACAAATCTAGATAGCTGAATCTTCTACAAATGATCATTGCATCTTGACAGTTAGTAATAAACATACATCTCATTCCCTTAGTGAATGTAGATGTTAGAATAACTCGTTGGCCAATGGCTGCCAATTCAGTTTCACATCTAATCACAGATTCTTGTATGCCACTGATACCTGCAAAGGGAAGGGGGAGGCTGTGGCACAAAGGCTGTGCGCAGCTAGGGTTTTAGGAGGGAGGAAAAACGAGAGAGAGAAGGGGAATTTGGGAGAAAGAGTAATTCTTATTGCTTGTGTTGCTGAAAGGACCCAACATCCTTTAAATAATAGTTGGTTTCTCCCAATCCTAGTTGAACTAAGTTATCTATCCTGTCGGTTCAAAGAAAAGCGACGAGGTAAAGAACCGAAAAGAAACCATCGAATGAGCTTATATTTTGCTCACCTAACAAAATCTAAATTACAATAAATTAAAATAGAAAAGAATTAAATATAATCTGCATAACGTTTCGGGGCTTGAACGGACCGCTTCGGGCGAACACGTCGTGGAGCCGAGTGGTCTGTTGGGGTGGTCTGGTCAGAAACAACCCCCGTATCAACCCCCCAGGGTCGGAAACGGCCTTGTCCTCAAGGCCAAGATCAGGGTAATGGCGGCGGATGTCTGCAACTGGTTCCCACGTACTGTCTTCCGGGCCGCCATCCGACCAACGAATCAGCCATTGGTCCTACGGGAGGCCATCCACCAGAATGGTCCGTGCATCGAGCGCCTTAATGGGAACTGAAATGGGGCGGCCCTTATAAAAATCAGCCGGTAAGGAGACTTGCGGGAGAGTGTCGTCGGTTTGCACAAAGGGCCGCAATAAGGAGACATGGAATACATCATGGATACGACTGCCCGGCGGAAGTTGTAAATGGTACGCTACGGGACCAACCCGCTCAAGAATGGGAAAGGCCCATAAAACCGCCGAGCGAGCTTTGTGGAGAGAGGTCGGGCGATAGAATGTTGACGGTATGGCCGGAGCTTCAAAAGAACCAAATCGCCGACAACATAAGTAACCTCCCGGCGATGAGCATTGGCCTACTAGGTCATTCGCTGCCGCATGGTGGCCAAGTGATTCTTCAAATCAGTGAGCAATTCGGCGCGGTCACGTAAGAGCTCCTCCACCGAAGCCACGCGCGAGCGAGTTGAGATCGTCGGAAAGAGGGAAGGCGGTAGGCGGCCATACAGTGCTTGATAAGGAGACATCCCAATACTCTCGTTTGTGCTACAATTCAACGCGAGCTCAGCCCATGGTAAGAAGGTGGACCACTTTGTAGGGCGGTCATGGACAAATGCACGTAGATATTGTTCCAAGCTTCGATTAAGGACTTCCGTCTGGCCATCTGTCTGCAGGTGATATGCTGTACTAAATTTTAATGTGGTGCCGCTGAGACGCATCAACTCCTTCCAAAAGAGGCTCTTAAAGATTGAGTCGCGATCGGAGGCAATATCGGCGGGGAACCCATGGTGTTTGACAACAATATCAAGAAAGAGCTGAGCCACCCGAGGTGCATCAAAGTCGGCAGGCAAGGCACCAAAATGGGAATACTTGGTGAGACGATCAACGACGACGAGAATGGCCGAAACCCCTCTGGACGGTGGAAGGCCGGTGATAAAATCCATAGATGCGGACTCCCAGACTTGGTCTGGTATGGGCAGCGGCTGAAGAAGCCCCGCGGGCTCACGGGTGGAATATTTGGTAGTCTGACACGCCCAAAAGGCTGCCACAAAACGTCGTACGTCCGCACGCATGGCAGGCCAATAGAAGGTGGTGACGAGGCGGCGGAATGTGCATTCCACACCCTGGTGCCCAGCCATCGGGGAGCTGTGGTACTCGGTGAGCAGCTGGTGACGAAGGGAAGAGGTTGACGCCAGGACCAGTCGGTGTTGATAATAAAGGATGCCGGAATGGACTGTAAACCCGGGGTGTGCTGTGCCAGCAGCCACGGCTTCATGGAGCCGGAGGAGTTCCTGTTCGGTTGTGTTCTCTGTAGCAATGGCTTCCAAGAGTTTGGGCAGTGGCCGTGCATAGGTCGTTAATAGGGCTGCAACCTCGGCGTCATCTCCACGTCGTGATAAAGCATCCGCGACCCGGTTAGAGGCCCATGTCTTGTATTCGATTCGAAACTTATACCCCATTAGTTTACGGATATAGAATTGTTGATCCGGAGTTTGGACGACCTGAGAAAGAAGTTCCTTGAGGCTGCGCTGGTCACTTCGAATAACAAACTCCCGACCTAGCAAATATTGACGCCATTTTTGTACCGCCTTAACAATTGCATATAATTCCTTGTGGTACGTGGAGGCCATACGTCGTCGGGGCCCCAATTTTTTGCTAAAAAAGGCTAATGGGTGTCCTTGCTGTAACAACACTGCGCCCACCCCAAAATCCGAGGCATCGGTCTCCAAATAGAAAACCTGGGAGAAATCAGGGAGGCGCAAAACAGGGGCCGTGGTCATCGCCTGTTTCAAAGCCTCAAAACTACTGTCGGCGCGGGTATCCCACTGGAAGCTATCCTTTTTAAGAAGATCGGTCAGCGGGGCGGCAAAGACGGCATATCCGGCGACGAACCGTCGGTAATATCCAGTCAAGCCAAGAAAAGCCTGAAGTTGGGTGACGGTTGTGGGCTTCGGCCAGGCCATCATGGCCGCAATTTTGTCCGGGTCGGGCTTTAGTTCTCCTGCCTTAATTAAATGTCCCAAGTACCCAATTTGGGTTCGGCAAAAAGAGCACTTCTGCAGCTTGATGAAAAAGGAATGTAGCTGGAGTGTCTCCAATACCGTGGCTAAATGTTGGACGTGCGCTTCTGTCGTGGGACTATAGACAAGGATGTCGTCGAAAAACACAATCACGAATTGCCGAAGGTGTTCCCGAAATAAGCTGTTCATAGCGGCTTGAAATGTAGAGGGTGCATTGGTAAGGCGAAGGGCATAACCAGAAATTCGTAGTGCCCGTCATGTGTTCGGAATGCTGTTTTGAAAATATCGTCCGCATGCATGCGAATTTGGTGATAGGCTGACCTCAAATCAAGCTTGGTAAACACCCGAGCCGACCCTAGTTCATCAAATAATTCATCCGAGGTCGGTATGGGAAAGTGATCTGGAACCGTAGCTGTATTAAGGGCGCGGTAGTCGATGCAAAACCGGAAAGTACCACCCTTTTTGCGGACGAGTAGCACTGGAGAAGAGAATGGGCTTTGACTTGGTCGAATAATGCCCTGTTGGAGCATGTCCCTCACTTGGCGTTCAATTTCGGCTTTTTGGAAGTACGGATAACGATAAGGCCGGACATTGACCGGGCGGGTGCCAAGAGGGAGGTGAATACGATGGTCCCAGAAGCGTGCGGGTGGCAGTCCCGTGGGCGTCCCAAATACAGGCGCATGATGGGTGAGCAAGGACCGGATGGGATCCGGCAGGTCGGCGGGGAATTGAGGATCTTCGGTCGTGACCTGCGGCTGTTCCATAGGTGTACCCACCACTTCGTAGAGGTCCACTGGCTCGGGGGTAGCAAGGAGGGCGCTTAACTGATTGTATGACACAGGGCGTGGTCCAGGAGAGTCACCGCGTAACGTGATGGTGTCGCCATTCCAACTGAATTCCATGGTTAATTTAGCATAATCGTGTGCCACTTTGCCCAGAGTTTGCAACCATTGAATGCCGAGGACAATATCGGGACCATGGACCTCGAGCATAAACAAGTCAATTTCAAAGAGGTGGCCCTGCAGAGATACCGGCGTACGGGGGCAACTGTAAGAGCAGCGAAGGGAATCACCATTACCCACATACACATGGAAGGGCGTCACGGGATGAAGGACCAGGGCGAGGCGTTCGGCCACACCGGGGTGGATGAAGTTGTGGGTGCTCCCACTGTCCAAGAGAACCTGGACGGCTGCCCCATTGACGGATCCGGCCAATTTGAGGGAACGGGGACTCGGGCACCCAGACATAGAGTGAATACTGGACACGTCACCGGAGATGACGGGAGGAAAGTCGTCCTGGTCCGCGGAGCTGTCGTCCGTAAGGGGCGGATCTTCGGAGTCGGGACCCATAAGCACCAAGAATCGTCGTCGACAATTATGAGATCGATCCCACTTTTCATCACAATACCAGCAAAGGCCTTTTTTGCTACGTTCTGCTTTCTCGGTGGTGGAGACGACCACCACGGGTAATGAAGAGGGTGAGGGACGGTCTGCTTGACGGTTCCCTGTGGGGTTCGGTCGTGCATGCGTCGAAGGAGGCGGAAGGATACCAGCAGCGGCCGATTGGACCAGGGCCTTCGTGACGAAGGAGCAAACGCCGTGGTGGCCTCTTGATGGCAGGCGGCCAGTTCACGAGCCAAGGCGAAAGCCGATTGCAACGTGGTAGGGTTACGGAGGTTCACCTCTCTCTGGACGGGTTGCTTCAAGCCGGCCACAAACATGGAGATTAAAGTTGCCTCCAGGACTCCGGAAACTTTATTCAACAGGGACTCAAAGGCTGTCTGATAGTCCAAAACTGAAGATGTCTAGGTTAATTTGGATAAGAGACCCACGTAATTTTCATAATAGTGAGGGTCAAAATGCTGCTGGACGGCGACCAAAAAATCTGCCCATGTCGCGCCGTATGTGTTGGATTGGTAGTAGTGAAACAATTCATATGCCGGGTGATCGATGAGCATGGCGACCAACTGTAGGCGCTCAGGTTCCGGCGTGAGGAAGTAGTCGAAATACTTTTGGATTCGGAAAATCTAGCCCGTCGGGTTATCGCCCGAAAAACAGGGAGCTTCGACGCGCATGCGGGGCACGGGATCGGCGCTGCCGGAGGTGGTCCGAGAGGGTGGCGGACGCCAGCCCATGAACGTCGGCCGACGGGGATCAGCCGTCTCGTCGACTTTGGCAGTGGCAAGTTCTGTCACCCGGGCTTTTGTGGCATGCAAGTCTTTCCGGATGTCGATGATGGCATGCATAATATCGTCAAGCGTCAACACAGAGGTTGGAACGTCGGATGAAGCCATGAGATCGAGAATGAGAGCACCAATTTGATACCTGCAAAGGGAAGGGGGAGGCTGTGGCACAAAGGCTGTGCGCAGCTAGGGTTTTAGGAGGGAGGAAAAACGAGAGAGAGAAGGGGAATTTGGGAGAAAGAGAAATTCTTATTGCTTGTGTTGCTGAAAGGACCCAACATCCTTTAAATAATAGTTGGTTTCTGTTAGTCGGTTTATTCGTTGTGCCCACGCCTTAGAGGGGGGTGAATAAGGCGTTTTAAAATCTTTTTCGGAGTTTAATAAAAACGGTGTTGGCAAATGCGGAAGCAATATATAAAACGCAGAAATAAAAGCGTAAATAAAATGCACACCGATTTTATACTGGTTCGGGAACTCCCTACTCCAGTACCTCGAGGCTCCTCCTCAAGGATTTCCGAATCCACTAAGTCCCGGTCTCTTGAACTCCGTCAAAGCACCGCACTAGTTTGGCAAACAACCCTTGCCAATAGGATTCACTCCGAGATTTCACCACGGCTATCTCGAACCGTTTACAACGAAGATTTAACGNAAGGTGTGTTTGAAGAACACAAAAGAGGATTCTACACAACGGCTAGAATATAAAAATGAAGAACAAAACTTAGCCGGTGTAGAAAGAAAGTATACTCTCTCAAAAATACAATTCAAACTTATGAATATGAGAGTATATAACTAGAAACACAAGCTCAAAGTGTGTGTATAAAAATCAGGAATTTAAGGCTCTTGAAATAGCCAAAATATTGAAAATAATTAATAAAAGAATGAACACACTTAGAATATAAAGGGAGGATGTTTAGAGCTTTGTTTCTTGAAAAATATGAAGGATTAAGCTTGTATTTATAGTGGAAGATGTTAATTAGCCGTTGGGAGGTGATTAGGGTTGATTTAATTCAAAATTGCAAATCAGGAACAGTAATCCAACGGATCCGGTAGGCAGGTGCCGTTCACACGGTATCATGGTACCGTGCGTACGGTAGGGGGTACCGTGAGAGGCGGTACCTCGGTACTGTGTAGCACAAAACTTTGGTTCGTCTCTGGCGGTACCTGGTTAGGACGGGGGTACCCAGCCGGTTCAGCCTACCGTACGGTACTAAGGTACCGTTGCACGGTATAGGGGTACCGTGTAGGCGGTATACCCTACCGTTTGGGGTACCGCTAGGGGTACCGTGCCACTGTCCTGATTTTTCCAAAATTCCCGTAATCCTTCGTGTTTGAGTTTAAAACCTTTTAGATGTTTGAAAATGTTTATGGGATGGTTTTAAACATATTTTGTGAGTGCTTTTGAGCTTGTGAATATAGGTATATAAAGTCATATCCTTACATTGGTTTCTACCTATATTCTACGCTAGTTTAGTGTTTCGACTTCGTTCTTGAGTACCGAATCTTAATGGATTCTTGTTTTACCTGAAACACTTAAACAAACGTTAAGCTCTTATATTGTTTGTTAAAATCAAAACATGAGGCTTAGCAAACCAAGGCTAACAGTTTCTCCCAATCCTAGTTGAACTAAGTTATCTATCCTGTCGGTTCAAAGAAAAGCGACGAGGTAAAGAACCGAAAAGAAACCCTCGAAGGAGCTTATATTTTGCTCACCTAACAAAATCTAAATTACAATAAATTAAAATAGAAAAGAATTAAATACAATCTGCATAACGTCGTGGAGCCGAGTGGTCTGTTGGGGTGGTCTGGTCAGAAACAACCCCCGTATCAGCCACCCATAATTACTCAACTAACTTGGTCTTGGTTGAACTACACCCATTGGATTCTTTCTGCTTCAAATATCATGTATGCATCAATAAAAAAATGTCAATACAATCTTTGTGCAAGCAATAAAATACCACCAACTTTTTCTCTTTCTTGTAGTCAAAATGTAATACATTCTCTTGTTGAGACCTTCAGACACTTTATATTTTTTCGCTAAAAAATTGATTCCCTTAAGAGAAAATTTTCTTGATATACATCCTCCATAAATGGAAACCACAAATAATATTGCACAGGTATGAAAGCAGTGAGTGTGTATATTCGTAGCATATCTTTAAGCGCATAATTATTAATTTTTTTTATATGTTTTATCCATTAATAAATTATTATAATTTCTAAAATTAAAAGTATTTTCCATACATAAAGCACGTACCATTTAAGAATATAACAATTACTCCCTCCGATTTAATATATAAAGATAAAGATTCTAAACAAATCATCGTGGCACTCGATATATAATGCATATACTTTATATTTTGATTAAAATTGTCACATCATTCAAGTTATTAATAGGTGTTGAATGATTTCTTAATATGTTGCCAAGTGGACTCGCCACATGTCACGATTCTAAGAGTTCAACTCTCAAATTTTATACATAAAGATAAAGATATATGTAGATATTATCAACATTGTAAGTCTTATTTTAGGGATAAATAAAAATATAAAAGTCTTATTTTGATTTTTTCATATGTTTTATTTTTATTTTAGTTTTTCTCCCTTTTTAAAATGCGTATGGATTAGAACGTCCAATTCCATACTCGATTAAACCTCATCTGAGATAAATAAAAAATGATTTTCAACATTGTAAAAATAAGTCGTGTATTTACACTTCAAAATGTTTAATTTGAAAGTTGAGATTTATAGTTCACCAAAATACCCTGATGTTATAACATGGAAAAAAAATACTCTGAGATTATGAAGATATATATGGTATATTTCTGATTTTTCTCTCTATTAATTCTTCACTCTTCTACTACTACTTAATTGCAAGAACTAAGCCTCTATTTATAGTGGAGAGACTTAGTATGGACACTAAGACTGTACAAAATACTACTCTACAATGAATGTCTTAATCTATCATTCTAGAATAATTAGCCTAATAAATTGAAATATGATAATTTCACTAATTTTATAACACTTCTCCTTGAATGTTCATTTTCAATTAATGATTAGTACTTTGTAAAATAGGTGTAGTTTTGAAACCCATCCTAATTTTATGTACTGGCTCGTTAAAAACATTCCCAGGAAAAACTTAGTGGATAAAACCTGATCAAGGGTAAAAGAGTATAGTGGATAAAATTCTCCCTCTTAGTTTAGCATAATTAGCGAAGGCGACACATGTCAATCTTGTGTAAAATTTCTTTAAGTCTTTTTGGGGCAACATTTTTGTAAATAAATTAGTAGGGTTCTCACTGGACTTGATTGCTTGATATCAACTTTTCCATCTTTCTCGAGATCATGTATTGAGAAGAACTTTGTTGATATATGCTTTGTTTGGTCTCATTTGATGTAGCCTCCTTTAATTTGAACAATGCATGCAGTGTTTCCTTTATATATAGGAGTTGGATGGCTAGTGATTTATACCACACTCGCTCCGGATATGTTATATCATTGACGGCAACCATACACATTTCCTACCTGTTTCGTAGAGAGCTATCAACTTTGTGTGATTTGATGATGTGGCAGTCAAAGTTTGCTTCATCGATCTCCATAAAACTGTTGTATCTCCATAAGTAAACACATATCCTGCTTGTGATTCTGCCTTTTGTGGATCAGACAAATATATCCTGTATCAGCGTATCCAACAAGAGTGGCGTTGGCATCTTTGCGGTAGAATAGACTAAGGTCGATGGTACCCTTAGATATAGGAAAATGTGCTTAATACCATTCCAATGCCTCCTATTTGGGGTAGAACTATGTCTGGCTAACAAGTTCACCGGGAATGCAATATCTAGTCAAGTGTTATTTGCCAGATACATTAAAGATCCAATAGCACTCAAGTATGGTATTTCTAGACTAAGTATTTCTTCATCATCTTCAAGGGGTCAGAAAAGAACATCATGCACAATGAGATCGGAGGTATAAGAGGATGTGCTTTATCAATGTAAAATTGCTTCATAACCTTCTTCGTGTAATTTGATTGTGTATGAATATTCCATCTTTCAAATGATCAGTTTGAAGACCAAACAAAATTTTATTCTTCCAAGATCTTTCATCTCAAATTCTTTCATAAGATACTTTTCAGTGTTTTCTATTTCATTCGAAGTTTCAATGATGTTTAAATCATCAACATATACTACAATTATGGCAAATCATGATTTGGATCGTCAGATGAAAACACATGGACTTATTAAATCATTTTTGTACCATTCTTTGATAAAATATTCACTGAGATGATTATACCATATTCTGCAATATTGTTTTACTCCATATAGTGACATTTACAATTTTACGGAAAACATCTCTAAAAGAAAAAATAAAGATTCCCAATAGAAATAAATATCATTTGAGAGTTTATATTCCCTTATAGTTATACATCTGGTTTTACAATTTAACTAGTCCCTTTATCTCATTTACTTTTTTTATTTATTAAAGTGTATCCATGTTAAAAAAAAGGAGTAAAGTAAAAGACATACATTATTAAAGTCACATGTCTACACACTCAAGAAAGAGCCACATGCCTATATATACAACGAATTTACTCATCATAAATAAACTCTTGGGTAATTTATCTAAATAGGACTAAAACATAATGACCTTCTTAATATAGGACCATATGTTTTTATTTCCTAATGTAGAACCATTAGTCATTATCTATTAGTCATTATTCAACTAAATGTCCAACATCACTTGGACATTATTCTTCTCACTAGTCATTATTATGTCCTATTTAAGAAATAAAAAAGTTGAAGTCCTACATTGGGAAATGACTTATGGTTTACTCCTATTCAGTGCAAATTTCACTAAACTCTTATTTTCTATCTAGGATGCATATAGTTCAAGAACAAATAAAAACTAAATTGAGGTAGGAAGGTATCTTCTTTTTTTTAACACCTCTTTCGAAAGTAGTTTAAAATATAAAATTGACTTGAAGCTAAATATAGAGAAAATGTTTTATTAGATAAGTTCTATCATTTATTATGTATATTTCTTCTGCTTATTGTTATTGTTATTGTTGTTGTTGTTGTTGTTGTTATTATTATTATTATTATTATTATTATTATTATTATTATTATTATTGTCTACTCCGTATTAAATTTTATTCTTTATATTAGTTTATCAAAAACATTGTTTTCTACTGTGAAGGATCCCAAATTTTGGCAATTGCAAAGCATGCTCTCATTGATTTTTTTATTTAAGAGAATATTTTATTTCATAGAGAAGATTTTATTGAAAAT